ACTTTTAAATATTTATTTCTTATTTTTAGTTATTTTTAATTAGTTATTATTTTATTTATTTTTATATTTCTTCTTTTATTTTATTTTATTTTCTTTTAAATAAAAAGATCTTTCACTTGACACTTATCACTTTAAAATTTGCTACAGCTTAATAGTTTTTAGTAAATTTTATTATAATATATGAAAAGACCACTTTGACAATATAATCAAAAAATTGTTTAATGTAGTTAGATATAAGTATTTGAATAATAGAGTTTTCAGTATCTTCAATTTTGATTAGTATTTTTTGTAAAACTATTACTAAAAAAGTTTTTAAAGAACATTTATTTGATTTTAAAACTTTATTATCAATTAATAGATAAATTAAAATAGTAGCAGTTATCTAAATATTAAATTAATATTAATATTAATTTTGTAAAAAGAATTAAATTAACAAAAAAATTTTTTTATGAATTTATAATAAACTATAAAAAAGTATAAATTTTTAAGATTATATATTAAAATTTTATTGAGATTATTTATTTCTTAAATAAAAACTGTTTTAGGCTAATTTTAAATTAGTTAAGCTTTCAAAAACTTTTATTTTTCTTAGCACTTAGTTTATATTTTAGTGTGCCAATTAAAAATATCTCATTTTAAAAGAATTAATAATTAGTTTAATAGAAGGCTTCATTTAAAGATAATAATAAAAATAAAGTAATAAAAAATATTAAAATTAATAAAAAAGTCTTCAACTAAATTAATTATTAATTTTAAATTATATATAGAAAGTTATTTTGCAACAATATTGTATTATCTTAATGCACAGGATGTTGTTTTGAGATTTATATGATATAATAAAGTATTTAATACTTTTGGTTTAGTTTTTTTATTATATATTTCAGGTACAATTTTTCTTCTAATAAAGTAATATTTATTTCTTTAAAAATTGCTTACAATTCAGGATCACAATCATCTAAATTAGTTGATATAAATAAAGTTACTTTAATTTTGTTGTCTTTACATTCTACTGAATAAGTTCCAATAGTCTATACTGAATTTACTTTTACATTTTCTTTTTCACTTCATCTAACAACTTTAGCTTTAATTATTATATCTGTATAATAGGACATAATGTTTTTAGATTTATTATGAAAAATTATTAATAAACATTAAGATGCATTTTTTATATTAAAATGTTTTTATGTATTTAAATGAAAAACAAATAATTACAAATTCTTGAAATAATGAATATGAGAATTTTTTTGAAATATTTGTTCTAAAACTACATATATTTAGACCTCTGGATCAATAGCATAGTGATTAGTGTTCTGAGGATCACAATCGCAAGGTTGCTGGTTCAAGTCTAACTGAGAATAAAAGCTGTACCAAGATCATGATTGAAAAAGATCTTTAAGAGGAACTTTCTGCTTTTGGACAGATTATTACAACAATAAATCAGTTGTGTGATATAGCCACAAAGGTTATATAACATCCAGAAAAGAGAAAATCTGACAAGAAAACATTGTTAATATAAGGTTTCCTAGCTTAAAGTAATATAGAGAAATAAATAATAGAAGAATGATCTGACTAGTGGGTTATGTGAAGTTAGAAAACTATGGATCGAATAAAGATAGTAGGTCCTACACTGCAGAACCAGGAACCCAGGACATCATATGATGGACTTAACAGAGCATGAGCTATCTCACAAACATAGTGATGAATATAAAGACCACTTGCTGTCTGATGATTTCCACAGAATGATAACTCTGACCTTTAAGAGATGTGACAGATCCTAAAAGTGTCTAAGGACCTTCAAGATAATGAAGAAAAGTAAAATCACAAAAAAAAAACTACATATATTTTTTATATATGTCAGAAGACTTATAGTATATAGCATATAATAAAATAATAATAATTATAATTGAAATCAAGTTTTATTTCAAATCAACATGCATAAAAATATTTCAAATACATGCAAGTAATTAGAATAATGTGGTTCTTGTTATTTCAAGTTTCATGGTAGTATGCAATTGAAAATCAATTGATTACTTAGTATAGTAAATAAATGAAAATTATCTACGATTAATATCATATGCATATTGATATATATCATTGTGTATTACATATAGATATAGATATTGTAGAGTAAGACATTGTAGAGTAAGACATTATTTATTATTATTCACATACGCATTACTATTACAGAGAATCATTATTCAGCACCCTCGCTTTTTTGCCCAACCAACTTCATCATAAAGATGACAATGAGTATCAAAGCATCACTACTATTTATTTTCATTTAGCAAATTGCTTAGCATCATTTTATCGAAGAGGTTGGAGCGGTACTATTATCTCTACTGCGGTTTAGTACTGAAGAACATGGAATTTTTTATTTTTATATAATTGTCATACACATGCATATTGTCATACAGATGTCATACAGATGCACCATTTGTAGATTCCAGAAAAAAAGTGGAAATCGAGGTTTCATCACCGTTATATTACTCCATAAGTTACTCGGTACTATTATTATGGTAAAGGTTTATTTAGCACCTTGTAGAAAATATTGCGAACCCTTCTTCGCACACGTGTTCATCATCACTCGTATCGTTCGTTATGTAACTGCAGATTCCAGACAAAAAAAACGGGAAACTGTTACATTTTGTCACCTGTTACTCCATAAGTTACTTGGCACCGTATCCATAGAGGAGGGTTATCCGGCACCGTGCAGAAAATATACCCCAACTCTTCCTTATAATATAGATACTGTAATAAATGTATAACCGATTGACATAATCATATCGTCATGATAAATTGTTACTTATTCGTTCTTTGCAAAACTCTACCCGATAACTGAATTTAAAGATTATTCATTTTTAAGAAGGCTTTGTTTTTTTTTACAGTATTAAGATTTTTACACGATTCAGCAAATACAAGTACAACGATCGAAAGACACTCTCCGGCAAGATTCATTATTAGAATTAGCATAATTTTAATTAATTTATTGCGTTGGGTTCTGATAAAATTCCAAAATTAGATAGTACAGTCGACTCTGGATATAACGAACTCAAATTTTGAAATTTCACAATAGTTTAGTATAAAAAGTGCAATGGATTCTTAAGAAAGCTTAGTAATTTTCTTAGTAATTTTCTTAGTAATTTTCTAGAATTCGTTATTGAAAGAGTTGAATGTAGCTCAAAAACGTTTGAGACGTGACTATTATGCAACTCTCTTCACAAATGGATGATATTAAATGCAATTGCAAAAACTCGTGACAAAAGTCAGTATATAATGCTTTTAAATTTAATTAATTTGCAATGTGCTGCGTTGTGAATAAACTCTATCTTAAAACGACTTAAATTCCAAAACAACATACTCTATAAAATAATTTGAAACACACTTAGTTTTATTGTAAGTTGAATTGGAATTCTCTAACGATTTGGTCTCATTTTATTACAACTTATGTTTATTTCTGTATTTGGAATCAACCTATATGTGGGGGTGAGTCAATACATAGAAAAGGGACAAATCATTTTTAGTAAGTTTTTTTATTTTAATCTTGAAATTATATAGAATTAAAATGAAAAAATTTATTAAATTTAATAAAATAGTTGAGGTATTTAAGCTTAAAGTCAAGAAAACTTTTACTTAGAAAAAATTTGTCCCTTTTCTATTGACTTACCCCCATGTATCAATTTTATTGAATCTATTATGCCGATATCACAAACTTTACCGAATCAACCAGAACACCATTCGACAAATTTTAATTAGGTGTTCCAGGATTATGAAAGTAGCTGTAAAATTTTTTACGTTTTCGAAATTTGACCCGGCAAGATTATGTCAATTAATTTTGCGAATTTCACTCGTTTTTTTGAGTAATTAATGCTCGTTTATCCATTTTAAGTTATTGATACAAGAATATAAATTTTAAGACGTCATTAAGGACACATATTAAGTAGAGCATTCAAAATAATGGTATGAATGATAAATAACGGAATTACTTTATTGACTTGTCATTTAAATTTGACTTATGCTTCCATAAATTCTTAACGTTAATTTCTAACGCTAATTCAATTCCTTTATTTTCCATATCGATATGAATAAAAAATTACTTGCATAACCATTCTAAAAATAGTAATTAATTAAACAGGTACAAACTCGTGTTGTAGTATAACAAACAAATCAAAGAATATCGATATACATGATTTTTCGTTTGAAATTTTAAAATGAAATCATTTTAACTTTTTCATTAGAAATGAATAATTCTCATATTGATCCTCCACGCGGGGTATTTACACTACCCATTACTTGCGATTTAAATAATCCCTTCTGGGATGTTATCAAATCTTCTAAATATTTTATACTTCAAAGAACAAGGTCACCGAGCAGTGCAATCCTTCGAGGTGTTATCGGTACAATACAGAATGTGTATGTATTCTCTCATTTTTTCTAAAATTCTGCTACATTACGCTTATTTTCCTTTCATTACTTCTCAGTCTTGATACGAAAGCTCCTCCTTTTCGAATACTTTTTCGATCGGAGGTAAACGCCCCTTCTTTACAAATCGCTGTTTCTCAATCTCAAAAAGGGATCGAAGATGCTTGGAAATGGATCGAATGTAATTCTTATTTTATTTCTATAACTTTATTCTTTTTTTCTTTCTTGTGTAATTACATTTTATTTTTTCTTTTTACTCAATTTTCAGACGGTCTAAATGATGGTTTGTCAAGACTTGACACTGCTGCTGAAAAAGAAAATTATGTTGTGACGAAAATAAATTCTTTGGTCACACGACAAGGTATATTCGAATTTTCTTTCTTATTATTTAAAATAATGATTTTTAAATTAATAAAGAATAATTGTTTCATAGATAAGGGAACTGATGAAGTTTCTGAAGATCAAAATATTCGAAATGCATCAAGAACTTTTCGTCAAAATTTTGATATAGCTCCTACTGAAAGGCTAGTTAGTTGTATGTTTTGTTTACATTATCTTTTTTTTATATTTTTATTATTTATTTTGATATTTATTTTCATTTATTTTCATTTTTTTTATTTGATTATTTCTCTTTATTTATCTATTTTTTTATGATTTATTTTCTAATCATTAAAGTCTATTCGTGTGCATACCGTGGTATCCAACAAGGGTGGATGTATATAAGTGAAAACTATTTGGGTTTTCATTCTTTGATACTTGGCATGGAAACAAAATTGCTCATAGAATTAAAAAATATTGAAAATTTGGTTAAAGAAAAATCTAAGCGTGGAATGGTTTCTGACTCGATTAAAGTGATTACGAAGGATGGTAATGAGGTTAGTCACATATATATATATATATATATATATATATATTCAATATCATAATATTAATCATAAAAAAATGATTATATTTTTCTCTTAGTATTTTTTCTCAAATCTTTTTCATCGAGATGAAGTAAGTTCGGCATATCTGTTTTTTCTATTATTAAAAGTTCTCTAATAATTACTATTTTTTAAAAAAAGTATTATTACTAAAATTATTATTAACTATTATCTATAGACCTACGGTTTGTTGGTTCAATTGGCAGGTCTGTCAATGCAACGATTATTAAAAAATACTGCCGTAGAATTGTCTCCAGCAACTTCCATATATGATGTTGATAATGTTACCGACAATCAAAAATTGGATACTCCTTCATTATCTGACCCTCCTTTGTCACCAATGGTTCCATCTCTAAAAAAAGGCCTTGAAGAGCAAAAGCGTGATAGAGAATTTCGAATTTTATACAATTTACCTTCAACTGAGCATTTAATGCAAGAATGTGCTTGTGATTTTTCTATTTCTGAAATGAAAGAATCTTGGTCCGGTAAACTTCAGCTTTCTGAAGCTTATTTAACTTTTGAATCTACTGATGGAAAAGGTTGCTACTTAATAATACCATTATATACTGTACGAAGAGTTGAACGTGTTAATAACAAGACTCACAATCTTGTTTTATCCGTATTAAATTGGCATCAAATGAAAACTATATTTCATTTCAATGCCACAAAATCTATTTGTGAAAAGTTTTGTAATACTCTTAAATCGAATCTTAAAAATCAACTCCGTCATATGAAGTCTTTACGACCTTTTTTGACTACTTGTTTTTCTGAAGCTTTATTAATTGATCCCAAAAAAGAGCTTACTACTGGAGGTTTAGGCTTTACATTTGGATTTCCTGGTGATGCCAAAATGCGAGTTTATTCTATTTATATCTTATTTCATTTGTTTTATTTCATTTATGTTTGATAACTTATATTCATTTGATTCAATATATTCAATACATTCAATACATGTTTAATTTATATCCATCCAAATCAATACATATTATTATCTTTATAGATTAAGAGATCGTTCTAAGACAAAGCTTTGGATCGAATATATGTATAGTATGTCCACTTTAGCTCACTTTTACTTATTTTTATGCGTATTAAGTATGGTTGTTTATTATAAATTCTGTTTATATTTTTCTGTACTAGATAACGGTCGGAATTTGACACTTATTAGATCCCCATACTTTCATAAACTTGTTCGAATTGGATTACCAAATAAATTACGGGGTGAAATATGGGAGTTATGTTCTGGTGCAATATACCTAAGATTCGTAAATAATGGGTTGTATGATAGATTGCATAAAGAAAATGCCGGCAAGGTGACTCTTTCCACTGAAGAAATTGAAAAAGATTTAAATAGGTTAATCATCTCATTCTAATCTCGTTCTAAGTGTTTACTTTTCTTTTTAATGCTAAATAATTTTTTTAATTGCTAAATTTTTAATCTATTTATCTCATTAGATCTCTTCCCGAATATCTAGCATATCAATCACCAGAAGGCATTAATAGATTGAGACGTGTACTGACTGCTTATTCTTGGAAAGATCCTGAATTAGGTTATTGCCAGGCAATGAATATTGTCGCATCTGCTATATTAATGTAGGGACATAAAGTTATTCATCTTATATAAATTTAAATGAATCAATTCTATTATTTACTAAAATTATTTTCATTATAGTTATATGAATGAAGAACAAGCGTTTTGGATTCTGAGCATATTATGTGATAGAATGTTACCCGGTTATTACAGGTTCAATTCAAACCTATTTTTAAAAAACTATTCTTAAAAACTATTCTTATATATATATTAATAACTAATGTTTCTTAATTTTTCTTTTTCTTTGCAGTACTTCAATGTATGGTGCAATACTTGATCAAATTATATTTGAACACTATGTTCAAAGTAAAATGTCAATACTTTATGACCATTTCCAAAAAGTTGATATTCAACTATCAGTTGCTTGCCTACCTTGGTTTCTCAGTCTTTACATTAATTCTATGCCTCTTGTTTTTGCTTTCCGAGTTCTTGATTGTTTCTTTATGGAAGGTCCAAAGGTTTTATTTCAAATAGGGTAACGTATCAAAATTGTATAAATTTTATATTATATTATTAACTTTTATTAACTATTGTTTTTTTTATATGAATACAATTTAAATCTGTTCTAACTCTTTTAACCTCCTGAACTCTTTTGTGCAGATTAGGTAAGAAACTCTTGAAATTCATTTTCGTCATTAAAATATATATTCAAGCCAATGCTAATTATTTAATTAATTTATTTAATTTAATTTAATATGATTATCAGCTATTCTTAAGTTAAACGGAAATGAACTCATGGAAGTTTCTGATGATGGTGCATTCATCAATACTCTTAAAAAGTATTTTTCATCATTAGATGACCTTGTACACCCAGATACCACCAATCCGAAATTAAAAGAAATATCTAAATTTGACGAATTAATGCATGTAGCTTTCAAGGAATTTTCAAGTATTACAACTCAAAGTGTACTTGAACTTCGAAATACTTTTCAACTTAAAGTTGTTCATAATATTGAAAGTTTTACAAAACGTGATATAATAAGAAATCTTCAAGATACTTTAAAATTTTCAAAAGAAGATATTTCAGTCATTTATGATAAATATTATACTGCTCAATTTTATGGTAAACAAAAAAGTGCTCGTAATGATTCTAGAATGGATTTAACTACTTTCTATCGATTTATTGGAAGTATTACTAATTGGGCTAAATTAGAAGATGATGAATTAAATAATAGTGAAAATGGTGAACCAAGAGATAATCAAGGTCGTAGAATCGTTGGATACAAAATAATTAATAGATTATTTAATCATTTTGATAAATCCTCTTCTGGTGGAATTACTCTTCAAGATGTTGTTACTGGACTTGGTGAAATTAAATTTGGTGATATGATGTCAAGAATTTCCCTTTTTTTCAATTTACATGATGGTGATAAAGATGGTTATTTATTAAAAGAAGAAATTTTACAATTATCTGAAAGTCTTTTATTTATCTTTCGTTTTAGACAAGATGATGGTCATCTTAATTCTGTTTCAAATTTTATTAAGAATGCTTTTGAATATAGTGATCCTTCAATTAATCAAAATGATTTAATAGAAAATGTTGAAATTGTTATAGATGCAAAACGTAAAAGTCGTGAAGATGGTGAACGTAGAATGTCTTTTCCTTCTTTTCGTATGGTTATTTTGGCTGATGCTTATCTTGAAACTTTTTTTGATGTTGATTTTGCTTCAACTTTTCAATTGGTTGAACCACCTGATGAAAGACAAAAAGGTTTAGGTCGTGAAATATTTAATGCTCTTATGTCGGATGGAATGAAATTAGCTAATAGTTTTGGTAAAAGATTAAATAATCGTAGAAAATCACAACAAAGTTCTTCTTCAAATGAACATAAAAAATCACAAAGTTCTAATAATACTTCATCAACTATTCAAAAATCAAAACGACCAAGTAGTAATACATCTATTACTAAATCGGATATTTCTGATGTAACAAGTTTATCTTTAAATGATGAATCTATAGAATCATTTGTTTCTATAGATTCAAGTGAAATACCACAAATTGCTTCCAATTCTTCAACTGATGAAGAAGATGATGGACTTTTACAAGAAGTTGATAGACTTTTAAGTGAATATAGTATTAATGAATCTGGTAATTTTATTCATTTTAAACATTTTAATATTTATAAAGTATTGGTTTTATTATTATTATTTTTTTTTTTAAATCATTATTTTTTTCTTTTAGAATCAAATTTAGATGATGAAAATAGTATAAATTATGATGATGGTAAATTATTTTTATTTGGAATTGGAATTAACGGACGTCATCAATCAAATCATCTTAGTAAAATTATTTCTAACTTCGCTGATGAAATTTGTATTTATTAATACAGTCAACTCTTTAATCAAGAATCTTTAAGTTTTTAAAATTTATTATAAAGTTCGGTTTAGATACCAAATATAATTTTTTAAGTTGACTTTTTTTATAATCTCAATATCCCGATTCCCGATTTAGAGTTGACTATATTATATAACAAAAGTTTTAAATATTACAACATATTGATTGACGACGTTTCATATATAAAAAAAAAGAAATATCTAACTAACACTATCTGTTATTTATTACAGTAGATTTCATGGAAGACGATGTAGATAAGTTACTTGAAGAAATACAATGAATCTATTAATAATTTAATATTATTTTGTTCGATTCATATTTCTAATTTTTAGTAGTTAGAATAGATAAATTTTGGCAAAGAAATATGTTTTTCTTAAATTGTTTTCTAGGCAAATTTACCTGGAATTTTAAATTGTATTTAGTATTTTTTAAATAAAACAATAAATTATTAATAATATAAAGTATATTTTACTTAGAAAAAATTTTATTAAAAACATATGCTATAAACTTTATTAAGATGTTTTTTTTTAAATTAATAAATTTTTAAGCAATAAAAATTCGAAGTTTATTTAAAATTTATTTAAAAATTTTATTCTTAAACAAACCAATCAGAACGTCCATTACGTCTTGATATTTCAATAAGTCACGTGATTATAACCCAACCAGTAATAATGAAGACGTTATATAATCTTTGTTTAATTTGATCCCCTTTCTCACTACGCTTAAGCTTCGAAATGAACGTTTAACGAAATTATAACTTCAAACGGCTTTAATTAGAATAAACCTTCATTTTTTATATTTTAAAGTTAGGATATAAATTGAAACTAAATTAAATTGAGTCTAATAAAATTTTGAGATCAGTATATTTAATTCTCTGTTTTTAAGATATTATATTCGAAATAATTTTTTCTTCTGATTAAGATTAGCAATTCTTTTTTTTCCCTTACTTTGGCTAGTCGCGTCGGCATCTTTGATTAGCAATTCTTTTAAGAATATTATATTAATAAAAGTTGATATCTTTTATATAAGTTATAATATTATATTAAGAATTATAAATTTAAAATTAATATTTAAAAAATTTACTAAAATTAATGTCGCTAATATAGTATGCATTTTTTAGCTTTTTTTGTATAGTTAGCTTTGATAATAAAAAATGTATTTTAGTAAAGTTTATATTTTTAAAGTGAGGTTCATATTTTCCAGCTTCAGACGTAACAATTATTAATTTTTTTTTGAAGAATTTTTCTATTTTTAACTTAGATCATATAAACTAAATCAATTCTTATAATCTGCCTAGAATTGGTTTACAGTTTAAGGAATAATATTTGCTATTTCTATTTTTTTTTATATAAAACTCTTTATATCATATTAAGTAAATTAATTCATTTAAGAGGGATAAAAACAATTTAAGAATGATTGGTGTCTAACAAATTTGGAACCATTACTTATTCTAAAGTGTTATTGCTTTTTCATCCAAAGTAATATGTGATTACTTATATTTTTGTTTAACATTGGATTAAATAGAGCAAAATTTTTTTTAAAGAAAATGAAGTCAGTATGTAATTAAACAAAACTTATATTAAAATTGAATTGGTTTATTTTGCAATTACGATAAAGTTTAAATTAGCCTCATTTGTAGTGAAAATTGTTTGGATGTTTATTTGTTGATGTTTGTACGCGTAGAATGAAGTACCATGTTTACGCGAAATAACCCCCGGGTATTATTTTGTCCGGAGCGTAGCGGAGGACACTATATGTTTATGCAAGTGAAAAATGTCTGTCTGCGCATCATGTGAACTAAATTATAAATGATTGGCTATTATAATGTTGTGATTGCTATATCGATATTCGCAGATTCTGTTTTCCTAGTTTAGAAAATATTTAGAATCTACTCAAGTGGTGATTATCAAGCAGTAATTGTGGTTTTTATTTTAATCAATCGTAACAATTAAACTTATTACAACAATAGTAATACTTATGCATATCTCAATAATATCGCCATTCACATTATTGATGTTTTTCAAAAAGTATGAGAATAAGCAATACCAGAATATGTAACAGGTTATACTAAATGATCTACATTAAACAGATTTTTTGTTAGGATTGAAGTGAAAGTTATAAGAGGAGATTTAGGCAAAATTTATATTTAAATTATGTGTAGAACTTTTTTCTTAGAGCATTAAGAGTGGTTTCATAAGTAAAATTTTAAAACCAAAAAATTTTTTTGAATTTTGTAATAAATTTGTTATACATTCCAGACATGTTGAAAATAACTAAAATTAAATCATAATGGTTGTGCACTATTTTGATTACTATAAGGTGAAAAAGTAAATGCTTGAAATTATTTTTAAAATTTTTTTTTATTAATATAATGCTTAAGTAGAAACTTTTTATATATAAAATTATAAATTCTAAAATTAAAGATTTTTAAACTACATTTGTGCTACAAAATAGGCACCTAATATGACATTACATTACCTATTTCCTATAAATACTATAGCTAACTATTTCAAATTAGATTCTAGCTAGAATAGGTTAGAGAAGACATTATATTTTTAAATTCAAAACCAATATATTATTTAATTTTATTAAAATTGAATTTGAATTCTTTAATAACTCAAATACAATTCAGAATTCTATAATTAGTCTAAATTATTTAAGTAAATTTTAATCTTATTTTTAATATATATATAACATTGTTGTATTGTTTATTGCATATTAATAATAATTAAAACATTAATTTTAAAATTTTATTTATACATAATTTTTGTTTTAATCTATATGTTATAACCTTTAATACAATTAATTAATAAGATGTATTGTTTATCTAATTGCTTTTTTTTAATATTAAAATGATTTTTTTAATTTTTTAACTTTATTAATACTTTTTGATAATGTGTTTTATAAAGAACTACTATAGAAAATGTATACAATTAGTTATATATATAACTTTTTTATATTATCTATTTAAGAAGTCTGCCTAAAGATTCTCTACTAATTGCTATATCTAATACTTTTGCTTGGGTGTTCTATTTTAAATTTTCTAAATCTGCAACTTGTATTAACATTATTAGATTATGTCCAAGATTCATCTTAATCTTAGAACTATTTTATTCTTAAAATAAACCTTTTAAACCTTCTATACTTATTTTTATAATTAATTTAGTATTACTATAGTAGAATCAATATTTGCAATTAAGGTTAGTCATTAAACTGTTATGCTTTTGTAAAGTTCATTTAAATCCTAGCATCTACTTTACAGTATATTTTTAGTACTTTAATATATTACTACTTTTTTTTAAAACTTTCAATTCAGATAACTAGTAAAACTGCAATCTGTTTTTTGGTATATTATATTAGCCTAATATTTTTTTTCTAATGATTCTAATAGCCTAGTTAGTAGTATTCTTATTTAAAGATTTTTGTCTATTTGGATATTTAGACATTGATATCTGTTTTCAGTAGTTTAGTCTTTAAAATAGCATTGTTAAAGATTTATACTACCTTTTTACTTAAGTCTTTTCAAATAAGTTTCTTGTTTTTTAATTTCTATGTATTTATATAGTTATAATAACTTATCTTGAGTTTGTACTAGTCTATACTAGTTTGCATTCTTTTGTATAACTAGTTATGCAAATATCTTATAACTTGCTAGTTATGTTAATATGATTGCAATTACAGGTATCTTAAGCTAATCATTAGAAATGGTTGTTATAATATGAATATTATATAGGTAATTGTTTAAATTTTTACTATCAATAAATTTTGAACATATAATTTACTATTTGTGAGATTGAAAACTTATTTACTTTACTAAGTTGTTATACTTCTATGTTTATCTAATTAATAGACATAATAGGGTGTAGCGAGCTAGTGAAGTGGTCAGGTTGTCAACCCTCCAAGTGGTAGGTTGGGTGTTCAAATCCTATTGACGGTGAAAATTTGGATAATCACCTATGTAATATTCGTATTATGGCAACTGTTACTAATGATTAGGTTAGGATACCTGTAATGGCAGTCACACCAGCATGACTGGTAGGTCATGGGGCATTCATATAACAGGTCACATGACATTGTCCTTTGGGACAAGGTTGTGGTTACACTAAGGAATGCAAACCAGCAATAGGCAGTGCAAATACTAAATAAGTCCTTGTAGTCGTGTAAATCTGTTGAAATTGGGTAACAAGAAGTTCATTTGGGAAGATCCGAGTAGAGAGGTAGCCAGATCTTCGACAGCCCTACTGTAAAGGCTAGCCTTATGAAACGGATACCAAGGTCAAAGTAGCCAGATGGGCAAAAACCTCTAGATGGAGGTATTACCAACCAGGCCACCAGATCGAGCCGGAGAAAAAGAATATTGGGCCGACCTGACATACCAATAGACCAGTCATAAGTCCTACCAGGCTATCTGGATTGGGAGTTTGGTGAACTGGCAGGGGTATACTAAAGTATTTCGGATATGCTGTAAAGTAAATGCTAGGGTTTGTATGAACTCTACAAGGGCATAGCGGTTTAATGGTCAGCCCTGACTGCAAGTGTTGGTTCTGCCATAGCGATACCTAGATCAGCTGTAAAAATGGGTACAGAAGGCTCTGGGAGGTTTACCTCGAGGATAAATTAGTCCTAAGGTTGAGGACGATG